AGAAAACGACAACACAACATTAGTCAATTACACCATTTCATACACTAATAACATCACTAAGTTGAGGTTAATTTCAAACCCTTGATAATTAACATAATTATTGATTATAAAAAAAATAATGCAAAGGAAGAATAATTCTCGTACCAAAGCACATGGTGTTCCCAAAATGGGTAACAATAGAGTGTATAAAATAAGAAGCTTTAATTTACTACTTGGAGTATAAGCCGCTTACCAACTTGACTTATCTTTCGGCTTCACATGCTTACCACCTACGTAATCCTAATCATATAAACCTACTTTTATAACCATTTTTCAAAATATTATTAATTATATGTTATTGTTAATACTTTTAATTAGGGTTAGCTGATTAATTATAGTAAATTTAATTTGCATTTTCGGTTTGAAGTTAAATGAGCTTAGTAGATCTTCTATAGGCTATAGCTAGGATCGATAAAGTTGTAAATAATACGAGGTTGTGAGTTGTGACACGGTATAACATAAACTTTACACGAAACTACCGATCTCTAAATGGCTTCGCTAATCGAAAGTGATTATCTTGAGAAATAGCTGAACTGGTCTTTTGATTTTAAATGACATTGATTTATACGAGTAAGTCATAAACTATAGTTTAAAGAACATGAGATTTGAATATTACAAGGTCATTAGTTCAAGGTCAAGATAAAGGTCAACAGTTGGATATGATTAATATTTGTCTCTGATCCCATTACCTAAAAATACAAAACATAGAAAATTACATTCCTAGGAATCTTTTATTATTTTAAGTATACACAAATACATAAGTTAAGACTTGATAGCATAAGTCAACCAATTTCCACAATTGGTGACCAACAAAATTAAAATCAGCAATATTATCAGGACATACTGCCACTTTTACAGCAATAATGATAATTTCAAGGTATTCCCTAAAAATGATTCTAGAAAATTCACTTATTCTATTTCTAATGAAATGAAAGTGTATCCAAGGAATTATATAAACAAAAAAAATACATAAACTTGTAATTTTTTTTTGGAGATTCTTTATTTGCAAGGATGATCACCACCCTATAAACTACAAAAGGATTCGAATAATGTTCAGATATACACAATCTTATTCCTAACTGGTAAAACGTTAAAAAAAAAACTGATACTCAGCGGAACCTAGTAAATTGAAACAAAACCCTAATAGTAGTGTGGCAAATGAATGAATATAAAAGTGAGTGATTCCAGCTTCAAAAATGGGAGTGGCAAGAATATATACAAGGACCAATCATTTTCCCACTACAAGCTAGCACCACTTTTCCTTTCGGCCCCCCTTTCTGCCTACTTTCCGTTTTTTTCCTCTAAACAAGAATCAACATCTTAACCTTCAAAGTATTGTTAATAATACTAAGGTACAATCTAAATTATATGCTTAATAAGATTCTTTGAGATTTGATTTTTAACCCTAAAGTTCACACAAAAGTCATAGATGATTGGAAGAAATTCCTTATTTAATTGGAATCTTGATTTACATACAAAATGACCCCACTTTTGTACGGATCCATCAAAGCATAAACTTATGAAACATGCAAAAATTAAAACATAGAGATTTTGCTGAGATTAGAGGCAGCATGCATGATTTCATTACATTATATGGACCTCGACCGTGAAACTATGGAAGAAATCGACTTAAGAGGTTCACATATACGCAACCTTAATTCTACCTAAGCTTATAATTATTGTCAAATATTTGTCTTTCTGGTCAGACACAAACCTTAGAAATGCAGCAAAGAATAAAAACAGGTACAAGTAAAAGAAACAAGTCCTGGAAAGTGTGTTTGATGTAGTGTACTACTGCTACTCTCTTTCAGGGCAAACAAGGACAATAGCTTTATCATACAAACAAAACCTAGAAATTTTGCGACATTTAACTATAAAAATAAGAGCTTCAACTAAAAATCATGCATCACATTTGTATAATCCCTCCGTTTAGAAATAATTGTGAATGTTATTTTTGTCGCTTACTTAATAATGGACATGACATGAATTTAAACTATATAACATTTTGTTTATATTGACTAAATGTCATTTATTAGTCTCGCAACAAAACACATAATTGGATGATCAACTGATCAAGGAGCATGACATGTTCCCTAATCCAAACTAAAGAGAAGACATACACCAAAGACAATAAACCAAATTAAACATGATAAATCAATCTTAACACAAAATAACATGTTTAAGCAATGCACATGTATATGTTCATGCCTTCAGCTAGATATAACCGATCTTCAAACATCGACGACTAACGGACTAATCATCTATCACTAGAGTTTAAAGGAAAAAACCGTAACAACATGAGATGTCGGATGATTAACGCTAACGAGCAGAACCTAGTTTTTACAGCATTCTCAGCTTCCCTAAGATATCAAGACCAGATAAGTTAGTTAGCTGATAACAAGAGCTCAAGGCTGAACAAACAGTCAATCAAAAAAGGGCAACAGGATTTCACTGATTAAAACTAGTCTTTGTTGAATTATCAGCACATACTTTCAATTTTGATCAATTCAGAATCATATTATAACGTTGTGAAACGTATATATATCAAGCCACATTAACACGATTCATCAAGTTCATACAAAAAAGGAAGTAATGACATACATTACCTCTTTACTGCAGCTGTTGCAAGAAAAAAGATGCAAATTAAACTGATATAAATGAATTTAGACTAGTTAGAGAATGCTTTAAATCTAAAACAGAAAGAGATGGCACAATAAGTCATAAACATTTAGAAAAATTACCTTCACATTCTTCGGCTTAAATTCTAGCTCTCCATTAGAAAAAAGAATTAGAAACCTTAGAATATCAATAACATTTTGTTATACAGTTGATTCTTAACAAGCTTTCCATAAAATTTTGTTTATTTAGAGGGTTTTAGCTAGTTAGATTTCATAGAAAGGGGAAAACTACCACACTTCAAGACCACTAGTCGCGCTACATATGGCCTTTCAAGTTCTAGGAAGTCAAAGAAGTGGTTAGGCTATGGGATGAAAGATGTATGTACATTCACAAAACAGAAACTCAGATTCATCTAACACATTGAATTGAATCACTCCAAGATAGGTAAAGGCTAGAGAGAATAAAGTCCAGAAGTTAGTTACGAAAATGCAGACATCCCAAGAGGAGTACCAAATAAGGGTAAGAACAAAACAAATCATTGAAGACAAACCCATATGATAATCCCCGTATTATTAAGTCAGCATTTGTGGGCATAAAAAACATATAATACCCAAACAAGAGACAGCTTAATGCATGCATAATCACAACTCTTATTATTAAAGAACAAACTAAGGATTAAACAATAACATGTGGAAGTATGTATATATATTAAACATAGAATCACATCAAGTGGGCACCATACTAATTAAGATTATTAACAAAAACTCGAAATCCCAAGCAAGGCGAATGAGATTAACACAACACTTATCTTAGGCTGATCTGATCTCATTAATCTTATATTATGAGAAGCACATGTAAATAAGCTAGATGCATCCAAATTAGACACAATGTTATGATTTATGAACAGACTATATATGCACAGTTTTCACAACAGTAACAAATTTATGCAAACCAGCAAAGATATATAATCATTAGAGGTAGAGGATTAGGAGATTAAAAACTCGAAAATGTGGTAGAAAAAGAAAGCAGTAATTTTCTCAAGTAATCAAAAAAGGGTAAAGAAACAAGTACATCAAGGCATTGATGAATGCATGCAGTAGCTATATTGTCCATACTATTTGAAAAAGAAATGTTAACATAATAATTAAGTAAGGGTGTTCTTGACAAGGACTCACTCGATCTATAGAACGTTATGCACAATGAACGATTATTGACTAGATCGATTTGGGGGGTTACAAATTAGTATAGGGTAAAAAAAAAAAAAAAAAAAAACTCCTTAAGATTGAACGATTTTGCTCATCTGCAAGAAGGGGGGTTACCATTTCTCGTAGTGGAATGCTCCCTTAAAAACAATTTTCTCCTATGGCAATAAATGATGGAGACTTTGCAACTACTACCCCAAATCTTTAAAGTCCACAGCAGGCCAAACTAATAATGGTGAAAGAGGTACATTCACATATCTAGTTCATCTGGAACTAAACTAACCAAACTGAACAAATAGGAAGTTAAGGAAAAAGTTTGGTAGAGCAGTAGTAGTCTCAGTACATAAAAACAACATTGAAACACTTACAGAATTAATCACAAATATATTATGATGTTTTTATCTGTGTCATAAAATACACCATATGAAAAATTTTAATATAAGGTTCACAAAATATAACAAAAAAAAAAAAAAAAAAAATAACAGCATAATATGAAGAATAATAATTTCTATCCATCAGAAAATAATGTAATTGCACAGGAGTCAAAATAGTGTTATCATAAGCAAGACAAAATGTAACACACAATAAAAGGTAAGTAATGTTTTCATACCATATACTATACTGTCTCCTGTGAAATGTGCAGTATTTTATTTTGGTCTGCCTGCAAAGAAAATCATTCATACCTTGCTATCTAATATTCCAATGGCAGAAGTTACAGAAGCAATAAACAATTAATTTAATATGAATATATATCAAACAGTTTCCTTGCATGCCAAGTTTCTAAACTTCAATGTACACACGAAGAAGAAATTGAAAAGACGCCAAACCAAGACTATTTTCTTGCGGATTAGAAAAGCTCATTCAAAATTGAAGAGATAATAAAATATAAGAATTAATAAGTAATTCCCCAATTGAAAACCCTATTCATTAATCAGAATAATCAGACCAATAAATAAAAATATAAAAAACAAGCTAATTATTGGGATACAAGAAGGCCGGATTAATTACTCACTACTAAGAAATATAGTAGTAGTAATTAATCACAACATTGATTAAAAATTTTGAATCTTTTGTAATTTCAACAACATTACAAAAGATTCAAAAGAAAATTTCATCAAATACTAAAGAGTATATATATAATTTTTTTTGTTCCTATTTTTTTTAAGGGTTGGGTTTTATTTAATTTTTTTTTTTTTTTCTCAATTTATAGTGTTACCATAGCTTGAACCTCCAAGCAAACCACCACCACCCGAAGCACCATAGACATCAGAAGGATCGAGAAGCGGCGACGACGAAGATGCTCCGCCATTTCTACCAGCACTACTACTAGCAGCAGCACCACCACCCAAATGTAACTCGGATAGATTAGGAAATCCATCTCTTGGTTCAAACCCTTGATCATATAGAAAGCCCTTAAAAACATGTCCACCAATTTTCACCACTGCTTGGTATGCAAACTCATCTTCCCCGTCATCGACTGCGGTCACCCTTACGCATTTGAACACTGCTGGCGCCTTCACTTGCCCCGGCAATGAGTCCTTGAAGCTCGCATCTACCTCACCACATCAAACAAACAAAACAATCAACACTTTGTTGTTTCATCGTATTACATATATATTTTCCGATATCTCATATCTTTAACAATCGTGTATATAATTGAAATAGGTATGTATGTAGTCGTACAAATGTAATTAGTTACCTTGGTGGCTGGAGCTAGTCTCAAAGCTACGAGGCGGGGTGTTGGAGGTGGAAGTGTGGGAGGTTGTAGCTGTATTTTGAGAGGAAATAAGGCGTGGTTTTTTCGCGCCGGAGGTGGAGCCAGAAGATGCCCCACCTCCTCCGCCTCCCACACTTCCACCGCCAGTTCCGTGGGTCCCTGCTGCTCCAGGGACTCCCATCATTTGCCGTTCTCTTCGTCTAGCAGCGGGGACCCACGTGCTCTTGACATGAGTAGAGCAATCAAAACCCCTACTCCTACAACAAGTCCTACACCTCCGATGGCTGCAGTCTTTCTTAGCTTGGTTTCCGCAATCCTGACAAGTGAGGGCCCCACTTCCGCCACCGCAGCCCATTGCAGAAGAAGATGAATGGAGTAAATTCGGGCCAGTCGGGTCGAAATTAATACTCTTCCTCGGGTAATTCGGGCTTCCTCCTCCTCCTCCTCCCATTTGTTGTTGAGTTTGCCAGAGTTGGATTGCACCCGCTCTATGATTACGACTCATGAAAGAATCATTTCCATCCAATGTATTATTATTATTATTATTATTATTACTACTACCACCCGTCTCTCCAGCGCCGGCCACGTTAAGACACGGGCCGGCGTTGAAGAGGGGTATAACGCCGACTCCCACCCCAACTCCAAGAGCGGTAGCGGCGTTATTCCCACCATTCATCCCACCACCACCACCACCCCCATGATGGTGGTGGTGGTGGTGGTGATGATCCAGCATCAAGCTGGACTCGTGCTGATGGAACGATGTAGCGGGGGCGACAACAAACATCCCCATCTCGGGAGAGATTCCGTACCTAGACGAAGCAGGCCATAAAGTGCCAGCAGCAGCAGCCGCAGACGCGGATGCTGCTGCAGGGCCAGCATTGAATCCTAAAGAAAGATCGTTACTCTTATCAGCTGCTGCGTTGCTTGCTGATGACGCCACCCAATCCGCAAACGCTCCTGAATCCGACGCTAATCTCCTTGTAGTAGCCACCACCGCTAATCTATCTTCAGTACTTTCTCCTTATCTTATTATAATTAACAGAATCAAAAAAATGGGGTAAATTTGTTGTGAATATAATTTAATAAAAAAAATGGAGGTTGTTATTTGTTGTAATAATCTTGGATGTTCTTCTTCTTCTACAAAAACTGCAGAAGAGACAGAGAGAAAAAATGTGGCAGTTTTTAAAGCAGTAAGACAGTAGAGAGCAGAAGAAGATCAGTGTGAAAATAAACAGAAACAAAGGGTAATAACGACTTTTTTTTTTTAATCTTTTTGATAGTAGTAGAATTTTACTCTTCTTCTTCTGATTTCTGAACTTTCTCTCTCTTACAATATCTCATTATATTTGCTTCTAAATTCTATCAACAACTTTTATTTTTAGAAATTAATGTTTTTTTATAAAAAAAAAAGTGAAGGGGGTGAAAGTATTATTGTTGGTACTTGGTAATACTAGAAAGTGAAACTCCAATAATCAGAATTTATGGTAAAATAGAAAAAGTGACAAAGTGTATTGTGTGTTTTTTTAGAGAGAGAAAGAGGGGTTTTTTTTAATTTAATTTGGTTTTGGTTAGAGAGAGAAAGGGTATTTGTTGGGTAGCATTTGTAAGTTAGCTGGGTTCAAAAAGTCACATGACACCCTCTCTCTATATTTATCTATCTATTTAAAAATTTAAAAAATAAATAAAAAGAAATTCTCTCTCTATATCTCTTTCACTCACTACTTGTACAAACTTCACTTTCTCTCTCTAGAATTTAGTTCTTCCCCTCCATCCATTGGTGGGTCCCCCTTTTGTGGGGGATTCATTTGGGCATTTGTGGTTTTCTTTTTATCCCCCTCAACTTGTGCAAACCCTTTACAACAAGTTTAATTTTTAACTTAATCTTATTTGAGTTAAATTAGGTTTTTTGTTTGGTTCATCTTATTTTGTTTAAATTTCTCTAAACCTCATTTATTTGAGTTAACTAAGCATTAACTTATAATAGGTTGAGACAAACTGATTCTTAATTAGTGTAGAGTAGTTTACAACGAAGTTAATGTTGTTATGAATATATTATTTATACAAAGTGGTTTTATTAAAATTTCACGAGTTATACTTTAAATTCTGATTGGTATGTCATTACTTATTTACCAATTAATTGAAGTTAAAGAAAATGAAGTGATGAATAGAAAAAAGTTAATGATTGGAATATAATACCCCTTTTGTAATTAGTTAAAATTGAGTAGTTAAAACTTTGCTATTTCAAATACCAATGTGTAGTTAAAATATGTTCAATGTGACTAGTAATTTTGTCTAAATTTAGCCAAAAAATAATTGATCTAAACTTATAAAATCTGAACTTATATGATATTTTTTCACATGAAATTAATCAAAATAAGTTGAACAAAATTCGCTTGGGCCTTAGTCCACTTGCATAACGATGTAATAAGATTAATATACTTTAGATCATATCGAATTAAAAACTCGGTGGATGAAAATGATGTGAATAAATTTCCGATGGTACCATAGTGGTACCGCCTATAATTCGAAAAAGAGAGCCAAAAATACATATACATAATTGTCCTCAAAAAGCTAGGTGTGAAGTAGTATGAAAGGAGGATAGTAGGGGTCACCCAATACAAAAACACAAAGGAAACTAAAAAGTCCTTTGAATTCATAGTGATGTTCAAGTCTTTAAAGCCATTCTAAAAGAGAAGTTAAGCGTGTTAATTCAAAGTAGTCCCCTTTGTTATTCCTAAGCATGTTTTTGAAGTGACTTTATATAATTTCTCTTTTTTATTACCTTAATATCCCCCACCAATCTGATCTTTTGTAGTCATGTTTCTGGAAAATTCAGCTAGCAAATGAGAATAGATTCTGCTAAGATTAATATCATACACTGTTTGTAATTTGTTGTTTTTGTGACATTCTCATTACATTGCATAGTTATATGTACTGCCTATCATGCTCAATATGTCCAATCATCATGCATTGTTTAAGCTCACATCCAATCCAATAATTCTACTGATACACTGATCAAATGAATAGGAGTTCTAATTATTTGATAGTTTGGAATAAAGTTTTACCGCGGTACTCACAATTGTTAAGTATCTCGGTTTTACAGTTTTTATGTATGGTAGTCTTAGGATCACATATTCGAATTATATATTACACTGTGAATACTGAGAACAGATCAAAACTCAGTATACTTAAATGACGTTCTAAGCTTAGAAAATCTTGTAACGTGAAGCTTAATGGACCAAAAGATCCGATCATAACAAAAACACACCACAAGTCAAAGACAATTAGCTAGGTAGATAAACCTATACATCAATTACAAAACATTAATCAAGGGTCTATTAATTAATTAGATAGGACCTATAAATATACAATAGCCCTAGAATTTACACCAAAGTGACAAAATTTAGTAAAATTGATTGGAAATAATATTCCTCAATTAGCCACTAGCTCCAAAGATGTTGCACACCATAAGTGTACCAATAAGTGAACTTGAATTTCAAGTCCACCAACCATCAACCCTAGCATTTTACAAGGCAACAGCAGTCCACAAATTACCTTTTTTTTGGTCAATTACTAGCAATAATATTCTAACTTCCGTAGTGATTTTATTAGCATAGCTTTCCACACCAAGTAAATATAAATTACTACTATATTCATACTCAACTGCCTCACATCAATTCAAATTTATAAACCAAGGGCGACTATATATACTATACGGAGTACTTAATTACTACCACGCTTATTTAGAGGTGATTAAAAAATTCAAGTCAGATCAAACCTTAATTATTTTTAATACCTCATATATGAGGTATTATTACCACTTAGACATTATTCGCTTTGTAATTGTAATTCCTTTTTACCCTCTTTCAATTTTGAACTTGGATTTGACATTATTAATTTACTGACCTAGAGGTACGAAATGTGTATAATCTTTAGTTGAACTCAAGAAATTATAATTAGTTGAATATGACCTATGTAGTATAAGCTTCATTCTGGCTGAGAGCTAGGCACTACTAGACCGACAAATGTACCAAATTTTTAACTGTAGTTTCTGTGAATATAAGATATAATTTCTCCATCATTATACCATCAAGGTAATCATTTTTTATCCAACTATGTATGACTTCCATCATTATCAAAAATTTATGCTTATGCCTAAAGTTTCTTCTCTTCAACTGTACAAAATACAAGTTGCATCAAGCCATCAAGTAACGCAAGTGCCCTTTTATTTTAAGGTGCGCGCATATGATATGAGCGAGTAATCTCTTTGTTCCTTTTTTTAAAGTAACTCATTCTTACCTGTTTTAGAATTTTGATGAAGTAAAGTATTATTGTCTTAGGGTTTGTTCTAATTTACTGAATTGGACTAAAATTGTTTATGAGCTGAATAAGGAAATTAGGAACTGAACTGAACTGAAATTTAGTTCAAATTTATCTTGGTATAAATATACATAAAAGAGAAGCTAAGTGTAAACATTAAAATGAGACAGTTGAAATAATATGCATGAGTACATCCTTGTTACGTACTACGGTGTTTATTTTGCATATTTTACGGATTTGGAACCATAAAGACACGAAATGAAGACAAAATTTGATCTCAAATCACTAGTTCCATCCGAAAACCCTGTTGTTAATACTGGTCGTTGTAATAATTGTTACAGTTACATAAATAGGAGGGATATGTTTTCCCTTTCTGTCCCCTATTGCACATTTGTTGTTGTTATCAGTTGATCCTTAAGAGAGAATTGAAGGTTTGTCCAATAAATGCTTGGCAGAAGGAGTTTCTTGTGGATGGAAGGGGTAGAAGCATTATGGCTCAGAGTAACCACCACCCTTGTTATAGCAAACCTAGTCTGTCTTAGGTTTCCATTTTTAAACACATAAATTATACCCCCAAACATTTGCTCTAAATGTGACTTATCATGGTCACTACTTTTAATATCATTTGATGCAAAAATTCACCCTCTTTGTACCAATGTTATTATTATATCTATTAATGATCGATAATCTCGATCTTGTTAATACACTATTCAGTATAAACACCTTTAAAATCACTTTTTCATACGTAGTTGATTGAAGTTTTTTTTGGTGTTCCACCAGTTCCCCATTTGAGCTAATTCGAAGATCAGTTTTAGGTGGTTAGGTTTCAATTCCTGGTTGAAGTCTTTTTAAGACGTGAAACAATAATTGTGGGTTAAAAACGGGAAAAAATGACTTTATAATGATTATGGAAACGAAAGATATGGAAGGATGATGATGATGATCCACACTGAATGAATCTTATCCGAATTTTCTTTAGGTTTATCATTATCATTTTCAAACCATACATACTCCAGCCAACATGTAAGAGATCATGAGAGAATTGAATTGGGATTTTGTTCTTTTTATTTGTCATGAAAAAGAAAGTAAAGTAAATAGTGAATGTATGTGTGATTGTGAAGCTGGATCCCCGTTTGGAGGGAAAGGAAAAAAAGAACACAGCAATCTGACACAATTGACTCAAAGAGAAAAATAATGAGGAGCTAACCTACCTTTAATTTGTAATCAAACAAACAATTTCCAGGGGGAGTCACATCAAATGTTAAGTCAACTTGTGAAACCCCATAATATTAAAATTAACAAACATCATCTAAGATGGCATTGAGTCGGGTCGAATTTATAGCACATTGAATATGTAAAATGACACATATATACATTAAGGCTTGAGCACAAAATAGGCACAATAATTACTGCTTGCAAGGCCTAAATCCACCCCCCCCCCCCTTATAAGAAGCATGACACGATATAATATAGCACGACAAAACACGTTAGTTTAAGTAGAATTCAATTTAAGCGTATATACCAATACAACATGTAGTGAGTGGCACAACCATATGTAAGGCTTCTCAAGGCCTAGAATACACAAGTTTGACTCAACCCACAACTATCTTTATCTTGCATGATCTTAATTATAACCGCCTAATATAATCCGATAGTCAACCAAGCAACACTTGTACGTAATACCTAGTAAATGCAATAACCTTAAATGATGATTCCATGTTCGTATTACATATCTATAACATGTTAGTCATTTAGCCTTACCCGTAACTCAGTAAACCATAAAGCTGACTTTGATTCTCCCCCACAAACATTTGTTCATCACCATTCAATATTGTGTTCCCGTTGACCATCACACAGTAGTAGTAGCAGTACTATCTCCTAGCAACTCCCCATTACCAAAGAGATCAGATAAAAAGTAAGCTAAGAATTCAGAAATTGTTTTCCCTTCATTATTTTTTTTTTCTTTATACGAAAATAATTAAGAGAGATTCTCAAATTCTGAGTCCTTTAGCTTTCAGCTTTAACTTGATATCATATCATCTCCTTCCCTTGAGATCTGCGTTTTAATTGCTTTTGTTTTACCATCACCTAGCTTATAGCTTATAGCTTATAGCTGATAGTACTATACTACAGTAGTAGTTGTAAGAAATACGGAGTAGCTTATTCAGAATTCAGAAAACTGAATGTGCTTTGGGTTGAGTGCAGTTTCTTACATGCTACTACTAAGAGTAACATTGTAGTATAATATAGAGTAGTACATTTTTAGCATAAAAGCTGGTCCATTTATGAATTTGTTTCCTAAATACTTACGCAGCTAATGTGGACAAAAACTCTATCGCATTCTTACTTAATTACACTCTCTTTTCGATCTTTTGTACATTCGTAACTATAAACCGACTCTAGTTTGTTTCATTTAAGACGCGCACATAAGTAAGTTTGTGTACGGCTAGTTTTTAAAGATCTCGTTCCTTTAAATTTAAGCATTGTTCACATTTACTGAAATAAGTTGA